ATGAAAAACTTGGGTAAGGTTAAGTTCTAGTATTTTTCTTGGTGTTATTGCCACTTGTTAATGATATGTTTATCGTATGATAACCTAACGACAACAACCGTTTAAGTGTTCCACGCAGCAATCAGTTATAACCATATTAGTTTCAGTAGTATTTTCGTTATTTTCGCTATTGCTAGTATCATAATCAGTATTATTATCGTTACCAGCATGCTTTTGTTATTATTGTAATCGGCATCACATTATCACAATTACCCTCATTACCAGGGGCCGTTAACGTATGCGAAGACAAAATCCTGTTGGGTCACGGTGAGTCCATCATCATCTATAGTAACAACGATAGGCAGAAAGAAAAGTGCAAACGTAAAGTGAGGGTAAGTTTGATCTGAGTTAAGTAAAAAAAATATGAGGCCAGGTATGAAGATCTATATGTAATATGCTTATATTTTCTACTATGATTGTGTGTGTGTGTTTCTGTCTGTCTACAACGCAACTGAATAATCCTTTCATGCCTACGACAGACACCCAAAGGCGCGACGATCGGCTTTTCCTGTTTCACCTTCAACCTCAACAGCGCCGGCTGCAGAAGCGAATTCTTGGAGATTTCTTATAAAACCGGTGGTCAAAAGATAAGGTAAACCTTTGGAGGTTTGCAGGCGATAGATATCATGTACATATTGCTGATAATGCAGATGTTTCTTATTTTCCATCAAACATGCACCAAAATAATGTAGTACTTATCATTGCATTGTCGTTATTTGTACATTTCTTTACAAACAAGTTCTCAGTAGTATTTCGTTTAGTTCAAACCTCATGAAATGCGGATCGCTGAGAAGCACATGTAACATTTTTTTGCATATATATTAATTGTTAAAACTCCTATAAGATAGGCGAGAGGTTGCTTGTGCTGTGGGATGTACTGTAAGAATGCATATTGATTTTAGAGCTTTCTTGAAAATACTTCTCATATCTTGAATTTCTTAATGTCTTTGGAGTTAAGATCCACCCCCTGTGTGTTTATAGTGCAAAGGCAATTCTTCATCTGTGTATATGCATGCATGTTCTTATATTCTTTAAGTACATATAGGTACATATCATACTTTGGCAGTATCATATCCGATATATCGACTAATAATATATCTATTAATAATCCGAGACACACACACACACAGTATATATATGTATATATATATATATATATATATATATATATATATATATATATATATATATATATATATATATATATTGTGTATGTGTGTTCAAGTGTAAAGAAGACTACTTTATTGTATATAGAAATATTCTAGAATATCAGGATTTTATTTCATTTATCAATAAAAATACTGTAGCAGTATAGATCCTGAGCGGAACAAGTTCAAGACAGAAATTAATCACAAGAGAACAGTCCCATGCATGCTGTACCTACAGAAAGCCTCAAATTCATGTGGAAACGCTCGATAAAAGTGCTAGTGTGACGACCTTCAGTCAAAGCATATAATTGGCCCCAATAAATGATCCACAGGCGAAAGTACTGCACAACAGATGCTCCCAAGAAAGTCTTCACATCAACGAACCAAATGACCTTGAAATACAAGCGCAAACCATTAAAGAGTGAGGAGTGTTCGGGAGGATTTGTATGTCAACTTTTCACAGCGGAAAGTAAGATAATTTGTTTTGTGTGTATGTATTTATATTGTTCTATTTCATAAATTGACAACTGACTCTTGAAGAAATGCCCATTAAGTTTCTTTTACTTATTCTTACATTTTATGCAGCTTCTCCAGATGTAGCAAGACCTTACTGTGGTGAGTATCTTGTTCCACAATGGTGAAGAGACACAATGATGAAGGAATACGAGAAAATATATATTTTTTCAAATCAAAGAGATGGGGAATACATAATTGTAGTTACGTACTGTTATAACTATTCAATGTAACAATGACGTATTGCCTGCCTTCAGATGGCTGCGGCCTCGTCTCCATCAGCGCCTCCGACAACCGGATCGTGAATGGCAGTGCCGCGTCTGATGGGGAATATCCTTACCAGGTGGCGCTAATTATCAGAATAGGCGCTGAGATATTTAGTTGCGGGGGCTCCATCATCAAGAGAAGGTGGATTCTAACAGCTGCTCACTGCTTTTACGACGACAGGTAGGTCTAGTATTACACACACGCCAAAACACACACACACACACACACACACACACACACACACACACACACACACACACACACACAACACACACACACACACACACACACACACACACACACATACATTCCGCGCAGGCACGCATACACAGTCTATATTTTTGTTTACATTTTCATCTGTCCATTTATCTCTCTCTATGCGTTGTATCATTTGTTTAGCTACCCTGGCTTCATTTTCATTCCTAATGGAAGCTTAAAACCCATTTTTACTCCATTACTAACAGCGGCAACATAGCAACAAGTATAGAAGTGCGTTATGGTTCAATAGATATCCGACTGGGAAAATCTCTAAC